TTTAAATTTCTTATTTATTTTACACAAAGAAAAATACGTATAAAGATATTAAAATTAACATTTTTCTTTTATATCAGAGGGCGAAATATGGGTTATAAAAATTTATTTAAACTTAATGCATTTATAGAAGGGTGGCTTTTTCGAGAGGCTCTCGACGTCTAGTCAAGTGGGCAATTGAAAACTGGCGCTAAATGATACATCGCCGATCACGTATATTTAATTTGAACTATATGATGTGCACAAGTGGATTGTCAGTTTGTTCAATAATTATTTAACGCAGAGATTGTATTCGAAGAAAACTAACAAAGAAATTATTTAACATGGCCCCTTTAATTAAGTAAACCGAAAGCTATTAAGAAAATTGGACTTAAATTTAAATAAAAAGGGATGAATTTTTATGAGAATTCTCTAAGATGTAAATGAAAAGCGTTTTGAATTAAATTTGGATAAATTACATGAATAATACATTTCAATAACGTTAACAATAGTTATTTTAAGACGATCAGCATCTCATTGCTACGATACAACGATGTATGTACATTGTAGATGAATTTAAACATTCGTCGAATTAGAAAATTTTAAGGTAGGTATAAATATACCATCTACTCAGTAAATGGTTAAATACTACTTTAATACAATCTTTCTCTCAGATACACACATAAAAAGATATTAATTTAAGTTGTATTTTGATTTTTAAAGGTGAAGAAATATTGGTATTCCCATCATCCTTTCTCTACTTAGCATTGAACATAAGAAAATAATAACTAATAAATATCCTTCGTCTTATGTAAATACAATTCTCAGATGTCTGAAAAACTTTTGAACAGATCCTTTCACGGCCTTTCCACGGCAATTTTGTGGCAATTTGTGACAAACAAAAATGATCTTAACAAAATCGTGAGAAGGTTCCTGTCTCTGCAGCCCTGACTACTGTTTGTTTGAGTCATGGGATTCCGCAGCCGGTGGTGTTCTGTTTTTAATATAATATGCTTTGTGTATATATTTTTTTTTGGATATGAAATGTACTATATTAAAAATAAGATAAATAAATGTATATGTATCTTAATAACTTTGATTTTAATAAAACCGTTTCAAATATAAAGCAAACTCTTTAACCTCATATTCATGGACAAAGGTTAATCTCTCTGAGTAAATAAATAGATAAACTGTTATTATATTATCTTAGGTGTGAGATCTTCTGTCAATAGTCTGTGCGGACGACGCGAGCGGAGCCGCGTTATAGTGTTTGTATTTATTTTGTTTCTTCACCTAACGTTCTCACGTCCTGTTTCAAAAATGTGTTTGTCTGGAAAAAATATATTGAATATTTTCGATAGAATTGTATATAAGTCAAGAAATTTTTAAGAACCTCTACTTTAGGTTCTAAATAACGACTCAATAATGTGTAGATTCTTACGGATTTTATAGTCCCACTTTTAGTAGTTCATTCACAAACAGAATACAGAATCTTATTAATCTGCACCTTTGATAAAGAAATTCAATATAAAATGCAAAATTATATAAAATTTATAACAATGTCGAGATTAGGCATGTTGCTGTGCGATATCAGAGGGGACCTGTTGTGGATAAACTGAATCTCGGTATCTCGTATTGGATTATTCTTCTCAAACAGCGATATAGATAAGATAATTTCACGCTGGAATCCATATTAATACACAGATGATAATTAACATAGATTACAATTTACGTAGCACTGGAACATTTCAATATGAACTCCGTGCATTCGCCGTTTAACATTCTTTAAAAGTAATAATTGTTTTCGATCACATTATATCATTGAGAACGAAGATCCCATAATCCTGGTTCATTTAATCAACTTTATCAGGGCTTTAGTTCATGTTTTTTTCCTTATAAATTATTGAATACAATCAGACTTTTGACCCCGATTAAAGAGATCTGTTATTATTACAAATTAAAAAAAAGATACACTTACAAGCCAGATATTACTTTGGTCGTGTATTCTTTAAATTAAAAAAAATGTACAAAAGTACCTAAAAATATTCTATAAAGATTACTAAAATTAAATATTATAACCTAGATTTATTACACTTTCAGAATTTAATATCTGGTATAAGGAAAAAGATTCAAGGTATCACCGACAGGAGGAAATTTTCCTAAACAGCCAATAAAGTGCGATAAGGGGAGCGATAGAATGTAAATTCAAATGCGTCAAGCGCACGGCGAGAATATAAAAATTCAATGCGGCATTTTATACAACGTAGCTTACGTAAGGCTACGAGACCCTGTCACAGTTACAGCTTAGGTATTAATATTTTATATTAACCCAAGTCAACGCTAAAATCTATATAAATTATATGAAGTACATAAAATATATAGAATCAGCGTGGATTATCAGTAAAAGTAGTTTTTCATTGCTATATTGATGAAACATGACGATATATTTGAAGAAACCCCGACATCAATATGTTGTATAAAGATATTTCGACAGTGGTAATCCACACTTATAATTAACCATATAAATTAATTTGCAAAAGAAACTTAAGATAATTTAGCAAAAGAGTAAACTAGCATTTTTAATTTCCATAGTAATTTGATTTTTAGTAAAATAATTTTTCCTAAAGGCACAATATTCTTAAATTAATATTATAGTTTGAATATAAAGAGATCGAGATAAATTTATAGTTGTTCTAAAAAAAAAAATTTACATCTTAAATAACCAAGCGCTTAAAAAAAAGATTGATGAAACACATAACCAATAGTAATGTGACAAATCAAAGTTAGGAGACGAGTCGCCCCACATTAGGTTGCCAGGTCAATGACCTATTTTGACAAATCGCTTCAGGAAATGTTTCCCCTGCTTCTGCCAGATGTTCCACTTTGATTTATATAGACAAAAATGCAAAAGTGTATTAGTTAACTCTTCTCTTTACAGGAAAAGTCTATTATTTAAACAAAGTCTTAAAGGAATAATACTCTGTGTAACGGACTTCAATGCTGTTTTATATTCATTCAAAGAATTTATCTTTTTAAGTAAAAAGAATAAACTCATGTTTCATTAGTTGCTATACAGTGTGTCGCACAGTTGAAATTGCGTGGAGTTAAACTACGCCAATTATTTTGAAAGCCAATTTTGTATTTTACGAGTATCTCCATATATCTTACATTTGAATAACTGCAATTGGAGATAATAACTTTAGTCTGTTATCTTTATCCATTTCTATTAATGTACTGAAAATAATATTGTATATGATAAGGGAATATAAAACTATGAGTTTACTTAAAAGAATTCGGAACAATATTGACACATTTGTTGTCTCTGTTTTCTACAAAGAAAACAAGACAGATGATAATATGATTTTATGAGTGTTCCGACGGTCGAAATTTGGAGTGTGTCAGCTTTCAAATATTAAATCATTTGACAACTTACGATTGCAACGTTGTGAACACTGATCTCTATAGATGGATAAGTCATTGCTTTAAAATGGGAGATATTGTTTCCTTCCGACTTAAGCGCGCTTGTTGAAGTTCCTGGCAGTTAATTCTATAGCTGATATTAGTTCATCACAACCGCCATCACCAGAACAGTGAAAATCAAATAGGCACGCAATACCAATATTTACAGCCTGTTTAGCACAAAGGGAGAATTCATATCAAGTGGATGTTTGCATCGATTTTGTAGAGAGCTTAATTTAGACCCCAACGTTTCATTAATTGCGCGTTGAAGTCTTTTGAAAGAGATTAGTAATTTCCAGAATTAAATTAGCGCTTTACAGAGCGCTATTTTTTAATTCAATGTGAAAATATCGTTATACTGTTTAATATAATTTACAAGCTATAAAACGTAAGTACTCTGTTAATTATAGAATTATGTATTATTTTACGTAAATATTTTAGTAACTTATCTTCTCTTTTACTTAGTAACTTAAAATATATTTTTGCCCTACCCACTTATTTTACCGGAATGTATTAGGCTTATATTATAATTTTTAAAATAATAAGAAGAAAGTAGGCAAGTTTAATTAAAATTTAAAAGATATTTTTCGGAGATAAAATCTTGGTCTTTTAAATTCTTATGTAAACGATACAAATATCCTCAAATTGTGGATGGTTAAAATTACGTTTTTATAACAACTAACAGTATCTAACCTAATTGTTATAATCTTTTGTAGTCACATATTATTTGCGACGTAGCTAATATCGTACGATTAAGGTCCAGTTTGGGACAGGTGGTGCATGCTTGCATTTATCTAACTTCCTCGCGGCAAAGTGGCGTGATAATTATCAATATTTACGCAGATGTCAGATTAGCGTATGACGTAATGCCCGGCGACGTTTGCCGGCAGTGGTCGAGGCAAGGACGCGGCGCGTAGTATGTACGAGTAGTATCCACCGGACACTACGCCGACTACATCTTCATCTACACCGCATTAAACACTTCCATCGTAGTTATATCAATTACTTTCCAATTATTGCTATTCTAAATGTACTTGATTTATAAATTACATCATTTTAATCAAAGTAACCTTATATAACTTGCTAAACCAATTCTTTCGATAAAAACCATTAAATTAGTTATAAATTTATCAGGCTCTACTTTAAAATTTCGGTATTTTTCAATTCCGCGCGGAAAAATCAAGTTACTAAGGAACGCATATTTCGCGCAAAAATAATATAATTAATAATTGTTTAGACTAAAAATCTTATATGAAATTTAATGCAGTGAATATGATTATAAAATAATTGGTACGTTCATTCAATATTTTCAACACATGAAAATAACCTAAAAATTTGAAGCTCTCCGCTACTGTACGATTGACAAAAAAAAATTATGCAAATGTAGTAACTAAATTTATCAGTAATGTCACACGGGGGTTGATTGCGGGTATAAAATACGGTAAAGCACTCATGTTCTTAAGGCTAAGACGGCGCGTGAATTCTTCGTAAATTGAGACGTATCAGCTGTTCTAAGACTATTTGAAGTTTTTAAACAAAAATGTATGTTAGATAGTAGTACTCACCGGCGGCTTTCGCCAGCCACCACCAGCAGCAGCAGGCGGCCACGAGCGCCCGAGCGCCGGCCATCTCAGCGGCAGCGCATCACACGCGCGCTTTTGCCGGCCGCCCCGGCGGACTGAGCACTGAGCAGTGAGCAGAATGCGCGCCGCCCCGCGCGATCGATGCCGCGCCGCACGCACCCTCCTCCCTAGTGGTGCTTACATTGTGCTTTATACAACCTTAGCGCTCTACCTAGCGATAAGTGACGCTATTTGCAGTCTATTTAAACGATATTCAGTTTCAACGGTCATAATCCTATTTCAAAGAACTAACATTACTAAGAAATATAAGGTTAATCACAAACACATTTGTATATATAAAACCGTGGATTTCTATATACCCAACAATGTATTCAAAAATATATCGCCATCTCTTTCATTTTCTCTCAAAAAGCTGAGATGATATACATAACGTTGCATGTTTGTCTTGACAGAGTAAGCCCATGTATGTACGGTAAAACCTTTTATATAGCAGTTTACGTAATTTTTTTAATTGTGAAACATTAATATTATTTTTGACGTTGTAACAGTTATTTCACCGCAAGCGTTCTTCTATTCGTGGCGCATCACTATTCGTTGCCCTCCCACCATCATTTTCCGAGTTTCCTTGGAGAGCGCGCGCGCTGCCCCGTTTTCTGGCGGATCGCTGACCGCCCCTAATTGATTGGGCCCGTTCATTTGCCGAATAAGTTTTAGGTCAACACCGCCGCAGAGCCTCTGCGCTACATTTTGTCTGTAATCTTCTTCAAACTTGGAAAACTTTGATATAAAAGTTATAAGTATTTTCGCTCAATTTGAAATTTTCTATAATTAAATAATTAAAAATAATATATTAAAGTAAATGAATATAAAAAAATCATAAGACAAAATAGGTTACAGATTTAAAAAAAAAAAGGGCAAAACAATTATAAAATAAAACCACTTTAAAAGTTTATAAAGCTTGATACTGATATATAGGATGGTGCAATATGTCTAGACATCTATCAAATGCGTTGACCTCATCTTGAACTCATTGATGACATTAAGAGTTAAAGTATAAGTAACTACTTGCCAAAATTTCATCCGATTATACCAAGTAGCTTTTTGCGATGTACAATAATTATAATTTTTATGAATGGATATAATGCCTGACTTATACATGATTTTAGCCAGCAATATTTTATAACTAAGATTTTTTTATGAACTAATTTAATGCTTATAACACTTGCAATACGTTTATTTTGTTGTTATGGTGTATATGCACGAGATCGAGATATACGACTTGGGTTGATTAAAGTTTACCAAAATAAAAGTTCTTTTTCTAAGAATGAGTCGAAGCATGAATTATAAATTTCGTAAATTGATCCGTATTAAAAGAATTATCTCGATTTTTTCTTTTATTTTTTTTTTCATTGCAATAATTAAGTTATTCGAGAAAAATATATGTTTAGACATTGCAACATTGTCGGTAATGTCAATGTCATTAGATTAGTTTTGTTTACCCATAACAAAATATTGAATATGATTTGATTTCTAATCTAACTCTAATTAATATGAACAAAAAATAGTGTAATGGCTAATCGCAAAAATTATTTATTTTAGTTTGTTGAGACTTACAATAAGGAACCTATTGGTAGTAGTTATTTTCCCCAATGAAATCCAAACGTGGTTTTTATGATGTTTTTGTTAAAACCTGTGCTACAAATCCTTCGAAAAAAGCCGTACGCCAATATTATAATGAAAAATACAATAATTACACATACTCAGAGTTATTCGGTGTCTGTGAATATATTTCTCAAATTCTTTTGCAATTAGATTGTAATAGAGAAGTAGTGGGATTAGTAACTGACAGAAATGTTATTGTTCCATGTGCCATAGCTGCGTAAGTCATTAATTAAATAATTTACTGAAATTGTGTAAATCTACTGATTATTCTGACGAAAAATAAGGGTTAAACAAGTTACCTTGTCATGTTAAATCAATTACCAAATGCATTGATGACTTTAGAAACACCAGTCTCCCCATACATGAAAAACTAGTGTTTTGATATTGATGATACTATATAATTTTTTTTAAGTTAATTTATATTTTTAACAGTATATGTTAACATCTATTGTTTTACATCTTCAGAGTCCATAAGTGCTGTAATTCTTTTATGTTCTTGGATCCAACTCAAAGTATTGAAAATGAAATAAGTGATTTAAAATTAAAGATTATTATTACCATACAAGATTCGAACAATGATTACTCTGTGAAGTTATATGAAAAAAAACCTGACAAAACTATTGTGATATTTGATTACACAATCAACTTTTATAAACAAGAAAGTAACAATTTACTTACAAAGAAATGGGTAATGGAACATTGTTTTATAGCATCAACTTCAGGAAGCACTGGAAAGAAAAAACATGTCCAAGTTCCAGTCCAATGTATTCAACCTAACATAGATGACTTAACCAATTTGTTCAACATAGATTCTTCTGATGTTATATACTTTTCAACACCATTGACTTTTGATCCATCAATGGTTGAAATTCTATTAGCTTTTAAAAATGGTGCATCCCTTTTAATAGCCCCAGAATATATTGATCTTTTGTTTCCTCCAAACAAACAGTATTCTATAACAGTCTGGCAAACAACACCATCAAAATTCTTCCAGCATACAAACACTGAAATAAAAAATAAAATTTTAAGTGCTGATTCAACACTTAAAATACTAGCACTTGGTGGGGAACCACTAAATGGAATACGGAGATTAAGAGAATTGAAACATGTCAATAACAAATGTAGAATATTCACATTATATGGAGTTACAGAAATGTCCTGTTGGGCTTGTGTTGCTGAGTTGGACTTAAATAAAATAATCACAGATCGTGAAGTACCATTAGGCAACTGCCTCTCGGAAACACAGTTACGAATTGATTCGAAGAATTCCAGTGCTAATGGTTCTGGTAAAATTATATTAGGTAAGTGCAATTACATATAAATAGTGTATCAAAATATAACATGATATCCGGCAATGATGTGTACGTCAGAGTAACACAGATACCTTGATATAAAATAGGATGATTTAACCCAACTTACCTAAAGCCAAAGTTGTTTTGTTTAGCCTCTAAAGAGCTATATAGTTTAAACATTATTTTCAATGAATTATATGCAATATTAATATTTTAACTTTTTATATCAGATTCTTAAAAGATTTATGTTTTTCTCATTTCCAGTAAGTAATACAAGAAAATGTTATATTCTGAACAACAAAAAACCAGGTTCGAATGAAGAAGAATGCTCTCTAAAATTTGTAGACACTGGAGATATAGGCGAAGTGAGGAATGGCACTGTCTACTATAGAGGTCGTAAAGATGATACCGTTAAACGATTTGGTAGCAAAATCAATCTTCAGTACATTGAAAATAGTGTAATGCAGTGCTCCGAAGTTAAAACCTGCTCCTGTATTTGGTTGCCCAAATTAATGCTGCTCGTTTTATATTATTCATCAGAAACTATCAAAAGTCATGACCTTTCCATACTTATAAAAGGTAAATTGGAAGAAAAATTTTGGCCAGATAAAATTATAAAGGTTGATAATTTACCAACAACCTCACATGGGAAGACTTCAAAACAGATCCTATCTACGATGTTTGAGAATGACTTGAATGTACCAACAATCCCAGCAACGCATGCATTCTTAGAAGAACTTACGTCAATGTTGAGAACAACTGTACCTATTGAGGAAATAAAAAACAAAAGTTACCAAGCGATTGGAGGTACATCATTTCTAGCAATTGCAATGTGCAATAAACTATCACATACATATCCTCAACTAGGAAATTTTATTTTACCATATTTAATATCTAACAACAAAACAATTCAGGATATTGTTCAACTAGTTGAAAAAGATTATTCTTACGAGGAAATGAAATCAAAGAAAAGATCTAAGAAACCGGATTTCAGATCAAAAAGATTAGCATATGCTTTAAGTGAAGTTTTAGAATTGGATAGAAATCTTGTGGACTTTCAAGAGTTATGGAAGTTTGATACAGGAAAATGTGTTGATGCATCACCAACATTATGTCCATATAAAAAGTAAGTTGATATTTTCAACACTAGTCTGTAACAACAAATAATGCCGTTCCTTGCAATGTATTTGAAGCTTGGTTAAATAATCATGATAAGAATACTCTTTGTGGCTTATGCTTACGTACCAATGAACAAGATTTTCCTACTTTTTACATTTTAGAATATAATTATAGTAATTATAACTTATTTAATTACAGTAAGGTGTTTGTAGCTGTTTGCAGTCACTCGGGAAAAATAGCCGTAATTGATACAGAGAGTGGAAAGTTACAAGGGCAGATAAAACTTAATTCACGAATAGAAGCGTCAATACATTGCTTTGAAGGGGGAGTGAGGGGTCCTTGCGGTGTTGTCGGCTCCTACGACGGAACTATTGTCTGTTTCACTATACACAAATGTCAAGAGATCTGGAGGACAAATGTTAGATATATGATTAAAAGTAAAGCGACCTACATCAGAGGCGTAATATATATTGCTTCATATGACGGTATCGTTCGCTGCGTTGATGCTACGGTATGTATTTTAAAAAAAATTATGACAATTTTTACTCTGTGTTGATATAGCTAAAAAGGTAATAAACTTTAATCAATAGTCTTAGTTTGTTATCATAATTGACCGAAATTATCTGTCGGGCGATGATTTTATATTTGTTTGGAAAATAAGTATTAACAGAAAGTCACATGCCTGAGGAATTCATTTACTTTTTTTAATATGTGACATGGCTGCTTAAAACTGAAACTTTTGTACTTTGTGTATCAGCTAGAATAACACACTTTTCTCAAATTTCTAGTTTTAGTTACATTTAGAAATGTAGGTGGCATTAACTTGCCAACGTGGCAAAAATTTATTTTTACAGTTAAAATATGTAATTAATTTCCATAGAATGGTGAGATAAAACAAACAATTCAAGTGGCAGAACAAGCAATATCAGCGGATACAGTGTTGGCTAGAAATGGTTACATTATGGTGGGGACTTTGTCGGGCGTGTGTGCGGGCATAGACACGAGGACGCGGCGGGTGGCTTGGCGCGGGAAACTCAACAGCCCGGTGTTCGCTCGCCCCGCGCTTTACGATGATGACAAATATGTTGTATTCGCCGAGGTCAACGGCGAAGTGCATTGCCGAACTGTCGAGAAAGGCATCAAGGTAACAATTCAATTGTCAACTATTCTTATATTTTTTGCTATAGTACATTATTTTTAGATTGCTACTGATAGAGCATTTGTATATATTTTTTGTAAAAATTTCGTTAGTAAGCCATAGTAGGAAATATGCCTTCAATAATAGCTTTCATGAGACATTATAGCAATATTCAGACCTGTTGTAGTATTGTCTATCAGATTTTGCAGGTTGTAGATAAGATAATGTTGATCATAATTATCATTTTATTAATATATGTAATGCTATTTTAAATCAATAATAAAATATTTTTTGCATATGGATTATGGTCCACTTATTATTCATGTATACGATTATAATATTTCTGTTTACTACTTTATTTACTTATATTATATTTTTCTAAATAGTTATAGATTCAAAAATATATATGTTCTAACAGAAACGATGAGAAATTCAGTTTTTCTTTTTTTTAAAGGTGTGGAAATATGAAGGTGCAAAGGGAAATATTTTTTCTTCAGTATATGTTAGAAATTTAGAAGCATTAACTTGGCAGTTCGTATTTGGATGTCACGATAATGGAGTGTACAGCATCACTGTGAAAAACTTTCGTTCAAGTTTACATTGGCGGACAGAGATGACATCACCGGTTTACGCTACACCCTGCTGTTTAGATAACACTTCTATAATAGCAACATCTACCAATGGAAAAATGTGCGTGATAAGTACAGATAATGGCACTATATTATCAGAATATCAATTTCCAAATGAAACATTCTCATCTCCAGCTGTTTATAATGATAAAATATTTATTGGTTGTAGAAATGACTATTTGTATTGTATAAAATTTAAGTCTATTATATAATTTATTGAAATAAAAAAGTTATTTTCAGGATAGGTCAGAAAGTCTTTGTTATTAAAATAAAAAACCGTAAAGTTTGTTGTAACTTTATTTTTGATCTTACACAAAACATTTAAATGTAAAGTGAGCATTCAATAACTTGCTATATAATATGGATACTAAATCCAAAAGTATTGAAATGGAATGCATTTCTGATGTTTCTACCAATTGTGCCATCATTTCTTGCAATGTATATCTTAAATAATAAAAGCAATCTTAAATGGAGAATAAATTCCTATAAATAACATTCTTATATCGTTTAATTAAATCACTTCTGGTAGAAATAAAAATAATGCAATTATATAATTTTAGATGGAACGATTTACATACATACAATCTCTATGCTGTTTACCCAAGAACCCTAATAAACAATTCATATTATAGCCAGATATAAACAAATATTAAAATTAACAAGCAAATATACATAGGTAGTTGAGAGTTTACTGCTCCTCCTCTCCCAGTTCCACCTTCACTTTGGAGAAGTCAAAATCTTCATCGGTGCCTCTCTTATAGATCTTTAGTACATCTAGACAAGTAGTCTCAAAGTGGGTGGTGGCATCATAGGATTCAGATATGAATATTTGACTTTGGCTTCCATCATCAATTGGTTCAAAGTAATCAGTTACACTAACAAACTTCTGCCTGATCGGCCCCAGTAACTCCAAGCCAGGCTTGATCTCCGACTCTGGGTCTTCGGTTTCCACAGTAGTGGAAACCATTGCAATGAACCATCCTTTAGGAGCCACCTGATGGGTGTATGACACCAAGGAAACATAAATATCCGAATTCCTTCCCACCTGCTTCTGAGGAATAATTATCTGGGTAGATAATGCATCTTTTGTATTAGCAATAGGATGATCTAAAAGACAAATGCAGCGAATAACTTTACCCTTCCTGCGAACCCTATCGGGCACATAGCTGGGGTCACAGTATACTTGTTTACACTTAGCTATCTCATTTCCTGAGCGCACTCCAACTACCTTGCCGTCTTCTCCAAGGACAATTTCATCAATAGGCTTATCTAACATGTATGTTCCCCCATATATAGCAGAGAGACGTGCAAATCCTTGAGGAAGCTCACCTAGGCCATACATCGGATACAAGTATGGAGACTTACCATACCGGGCAAGAGAATCGGAATATAACTTAATACGATTGATTGTTTGTATTGCTGGTTGTTCGAGGTAGCTGTCATCCAAGTACAGAGCTAAAGCATGGCCAGTAAAGTCTTGAGTATTTTTATCAAGTCCAAAATTGTTGTAGATCTTACTCATTTTATCAGTAGTAGGATCAAAACCTTTGTAGGTCCTCGCATCTTGTTCATCGAAATCTTGGACGTATATAAGGAAATTGCGGAAACGTCTCTTCTCGAATAAACCCATCAGATCTGACGCCAACGCTTCTTTTTGATCCACCGGCACTTTCGAAATTTTTCCACCTTTGTAAACATAACTTCCTTCGACAGACTTGAATTCCAAGTAGCGGGTTACGCCCGTATGGATTAGCAGTTTCACTAAGAGGCCATTCGCCATCAAAAATTTGGGAATCAAGTCCACGTTCCAGTCACGTCCTCGACCATATGTTTCATCCGGTGGCGGTGCATTGAACTTTTCGAACAATTCTTCTAACGGAGTAATCGACGCAGATTCACCGCCGTAATACTTGTTACGATCAATGTGTAATACCTTTTTTCCGGATACCGAAAGCATACCGCTTAGGATGCATTCCTTGAGCCCTGTGCCCAAGACAATCGCGTCATATTCTTCATCCATGTTGGTAAAGCTTAAACCTCAATAAAACTCTTAAAAGACAGAAATATGCAAGCAACCGGGAAATAAATGTCAATATGTCGGAACAGAGAACACTGACCAAATATGTCCGCCTACGATGACGTCGACGAAAAAGTACCAACTTTGCAGTACAAAAACACAAAATGCACAGACAAAAAAGCTAACAATGTCAAAAACACCACGAGAACTTGATAAAAACATAAGAACCGCATGTCGATGATATAAATTTATTATGATTTTATCTTCCAAGAAGAAAGAAACAATTAAGTTGTCGCATCCAGGTATTCTAGGTAAAATCATCAATGTTTTTTTAAAATAATAATTGTAGTTTTTGCTAAATAGCTGTACAATTAACAGCGGTTTTATAACATTACTTTATCGAAACAAAAACGCTTTGAAAAAGCTCTTATTCCTACAATTGTAACAAACGATAGCAAGAGACGTATACAAGCATATCAATACTTGGGACTGGGACTATTTATTTTGTAGTACCTATAACTACTAGTAAATAGATTTGTAAGTCTAAAAAATACATAATAAAGTTACGTTAATTCCCAACTAATTGTATAAAAACTTGATCAAAAACTATCAGCGTTTTTTATTAAGTTATTTGATCATAGAGACGTCCCTAACGAAGTGCCAATAAGGCAGACTGTTTGATTGTCATTGTCAGCAATTGTCAGTGTCAGCCGGTCAGTCACTCAGCCAGTCAGACTTGTTTTTGAGTTTCGTTCTGTCTTGTGCAAACTACACACGACTGTTCTCCGTGACAGGATTATTGTTTTATTTTCAAAACTTCGGGACGGAAAAATGTTTACATCTTTGTTTCTTTCTAAATTCATCGACGTGTTTTATGTTTTATCAAAATAAAAGCATCAGTGATGTGTGAAATAGTGAATAGATGATTTGGAACCATATGCTTCGAATTTTACGATACATTCTCAACGAGCAACTAACGGAACAAAACATTCGAAAGGGTGTCAAAAGGATCGCAGTCTTAAATGAGAGCTTTAAGCAAACCGGTCGTTCTTCGGATGAATAAAAATGTCAACAGAAGGAAGTGGAGAGACACCTTCGACGGTACCAAGTTTGCCGGGGGCACCGGAGCAAACGTACTTATTTCCGAAAGCAAAGGGACACTCGAGGTCCGTAAGTCATGGAGGAACACCGACCCTGGGAGGCACCCTCGCAGCACGACCACCACTCAAGTCGGCGATGCGGGGCCACCAACGCGCGTTGTCTCACGGTCAGATCGGCGAAGGGGGTCGCACCGCTCCGAGCTCCGGCCACAGCCGGACCGGTAGCCGTACCGACTTTATCCTACCTCCAGGCCACCGCGAGCCCGTGCCCGTCAGCGCACAGCCCCGTATCAATTCCATCCGCGCCCATCACTCGCGCCAGGCTTCGCGGTCGGATTCTATTTACACGATTCGGCGCGATTCGGTGGTGGCGCCGTGGCGTCGCGCTGTGTTCTGGCTGATGCGACGACAGCAGCCTGCCGTCGACAACAGACACCTATCAGTAACACCCAACCATTTGGTACCAGAGAAGACGCCACCAAAAGACCATCCAAATGGACAGCGATGTGACAACAAAATCAGAACTACGAAATATACCCTACTGTCTTTTATCCCTAAAAACTTATTTGAACAATTTCATAGAATAGCAAATGTGTACTTTATATTCATAGTGCTGTTGAACTGGGTGCCGGCCATCAATGCATTTGGCAAGGAAGTAGCCATGCTGCCTGTGTTGTTTGTGCTAGGTGTGACCGCTATTAAGGACTTGTTTGAAGACCGTCGCAGGCACCTCTCTGACAAAAGGATCAACAATTCATTTTGTCGGGTCTACAAAAAGTGAGTCATTTTCGCTATTTATTCTTTAGACTTAATGTTTACTATTATATTAGTAAATAGCTGGTGATAATGAAACTTTTTAAAATTTTATTAACCTGTTTCAATGTTCACAACATAAAATATTAATTGAAACATGTAATAATGTAACCATGCTACTTTCATTTGGTAATGTGAAAATGAAAACTGATAACATACCAACATTTAAAAACCTTAATTTGTTATCAAAAATAACATAAAAATTACATTTCAATTACAAGCTACAGTTATGCATAATTGCTGTAACTCATTATGCATTAAGTTATGTAAATTGGGGACATTGATAAGTAGAGTGAGACAACAATAGTCATTGCTTCCTTTAAACTGATATAGCCCTTAAGCAATAATGCAGATTGTTAATTTTATTTTGGCCATCATCAGATTATTATTTTTCTTTGAAAATATTGTTTACATAAATAAAGTTTTTTTAAATTAAATAATAGCAATTAATATTCATTGCAGATTTCACCATATAAGACCACAATAACCAGTATTAGATTATTCTGAATTTAATATTTCTTATAAACTATTCAATATTCATACAAATAAACATTATGTCACTGATGATTAAAATGGATGCTGTACAATTGAGATGCTAAATAATGGTATAATGATTTTATGTATTGACATAATACTATTCAGCTTTACAAAAATTGACTTCCACATGTTCAATCTGTTGGAAAATAATAAATGGCAAAGAGAGTTAGACCACAACACTGGTACATGCATAGTTAAATATTGTTAGTAAACAATATTTATAATAATTAATTCCCATCAAACAATGACGATACCTGTTTTATACATAGAGGAATAGTCTCTAAAAAATCCATAACATAGGTACCAAATATGAAAGTGTGTGTTGAAACCTTACAAGTTGCAATAAATCAAAGTCAATACTCTGTCTGCGTTAGACATGCGACACTTAACTCGTCTAGGACGTTGAACCTATGGTAATTTAATAATCGAAATGTCCTGCGCGATGAACTTTTTGATTCATTATAATTGTAAAACACAAGTGAAGTATCGGCGGATAGGAAAACGGCGATACAACGCAAATTAGTTTTTTATTATTATAAATGAGTATTTATATGTATTTTGAATTGAAATATGTGTATGAGTCATTAAAATACGTGAGAAATTATTCAAAAGCGTTCTTTAATAACTTGTAATAAAGTTACAACACGTCTGGAAGTTCGATCATTACACGCTTTCCACTGCTCGCAGCTAATTCTCTATGCCATGATCGATTATCTGCGAAGCTTCATCCATCACAACCTCACAATTTCTTGCTTAATACCTCAAGATAACTGTCGTCTTTGGTCTTAATAAACACTTGGCTTTGCGTACATTTCTGAACTGTTAATTTCAAATTAAAAGTGCCATAAAGTATTGTAGCGTTTAGATTTAAAATCCATCTAGATCTTAAATAAACACAGTAAAAAATAACATTGTAGAAATATAAACTACTTTTTTTTACTATTAATGTAATGCGGGGCTGTAATTGCTAGATCACGGAGTTATCATTACCCATTTATTGGGTAATAATTATTTACCAAAGCATCCATGCTTCGTTAATCATAAATAACAAATGCTCCGCCATGCCTCACAAGTTAAATCAATGTATACCTTATTCAAAGGTCAACCTGAATATTTGACGTCGCATTCACTAACTCGGAAATGTAGGTTTTACACAAATGTTGCATACAAACATAATAACAGCCTCTATTTATGTACAATAATGCAAATAATTTCGACTGATTACCAAGTTACAAAAGGTTAGCTGACGGTGTTGTGGATGATGGATTTTCCTAATTAACATAGAAAAATTTGATAACTTTCACCTACAATTTAACTAAACTCATATTATAATATCTTGAGGACCTAAGCTGCAAGATATTTCTAAACTACTTCTAAATGCACGTGTATCTATTTTATCTAACTTCGAGTTGCCAATTAAATTATCCGTTTGTCTATTTGTAACAGTTTATATGATAAATTCAAAGCAACCTTCTGCATTAGCAAAGTCGGCGGATTGAGGTCCCCGGTGCGGACGTAAATCCGGAAGCTTAACTGAATGATCCATGTTACGGAAATAACCGACACCACACAGCGCGCTTTACAAGGTTCAAACTCAATCTATGTTGAATACCGTTTTTTTGAAAACAAAATCAATTACAAACTCCAATTACCGTTGAAATATATATTACGAATATATCACGACGTGCCATGAATTCTTTATATCTAATGATCAAGTTATTTTATGTATTATAATTACAGTGATGATATTTTCAAGATTTTTCCAACAATTTTTGGAATTATAATGTGATTTTATTAACGTGATTATAATTTTGGGCAACAAATAATTGTTCTATGTTCCTGTTTTTAGGTACTCGTATATGCAAATAATTGGATCCAACAGGAAAAAGTCGTTAATTTACAGTTCTGTTCTTATCTGAACAAACGTTTGCCATTTCATAACTCGACCGATATCGTGTTCAATTCAAATGCCACACAATTTCCGTGTCCATTAATATTTACTGAACAAATACCGAGGGAATTGTAACGGAACTTCTGATGAGGCGCAGGTGGCCGCTCTTCAAATATTTGATCGCTTATTGTTTGTTACGCCCTTCAACTTTACCAATAAATCGATTATAAGATTTACATGTTCTTCACAAATTATATTTTTCTCAGTTGCAATATTTAAAAAGTTCAGAAACCGTAAATTTTATAAGCCTTTTAGCTTGCTTATTCATAATGAGGAACAATTTTACATGATATGGTTCCAAATGTATAAATTTTACTCGCTATTAATATTGTATGGATCACACTTAGCGGGATAAATGTGCGTGAGTTTTAATTTTCAGTAAATAGCACAAATTAACTTTCACTCAAAGTGTTCCACTTGGCTTCAAATGATTGCTCATTGTTCACGAAGGTCACGTCACTCGGAGGCAGGCACGTTGCCCGCCACGACAGAAACCCCGTCGAAGTAAATCCAATATTGCAACGAACTCAAGTATTCTCAAGGTTTTTTATGATACTCTTGGCAAAGATCTTTACTGCACAATGTCAGGGTGACGGCGGGCAGCGTAATTCAATAGCCTGTCGTTATAAATTATTCCTGTCATGTAACTTTCTTGAATGACTGCCGGCTCGCGTTTTGATTGGCTCCTCAATAGTTTATGATATTTCTTAGATTTATGTGCAAGCTTGTACCTGGTACCTTAAAATGTAAAATATACTTTATCGGTACAGACTGCAAGTTTATATCTTGCTCGTATAAAGTTTAATTTAGCATCATGACCCGATCATTGGCTTGCGATGGCTTTAAACACAATACGGTTGTCGCCTTAGCTGATATAATCAAGTAAAACACAACCGAGAGACTTCGTTTATGATGCATTTTTAGAATAACATATATTTTATAAATTTTAGAATTCGGCTATCTTCATCTAGTAAACATTTTTTTTCTGTCAGTGATTGGGCTCTGTTAGTTCAAGGGTTAGGCGTGATTGTAAGTTTAAAGCCTTAATGATTCCGGGCATAGGTTTCTTTATTGGAGGCACTGGTATGTATTTGCGGAGCAGCTCAAAAAGTATATGTCATGGACGTGTATTATGTAGGATTTTAATGCTGAATGCGCAGGTTTACAGTAATAAGAGCTCGGTCGAGTAATCACGTTTTGTAATTACGGTCCAAGGCCTGCGTTTGCATGGTGAATGCGTCCATTGTTTGAAGAAAGACAAAAGTGACAACCGCTCTTGCTGTTTGTCTTACGTGACCCAAAACTTAATAAAAAGTCATGCAGTGACATTTTTTATTGTTTATTCATTTTGAATGCTCATTCGCACGGGCGGTGTTTTAACGCTGCGTTAAATCTACGCGGTGGCGGCTTTCGGGCAAGGAACTTTAAAATCACTCTTTCTCCGTTCGCCCAGCGCTGCTGTGAACGAATAGGGGCTGAATCTCATATAAGAATGAATGAAATGTTGAAACAAAACCAAGAGTTATTAAAAATTATACGTTAAACTTCAGATGTAATAATGAAAAATGTAAATGGTTTATGGGTTCCCAAAAGTGTATAATAAATTCGAGGGTGGACTTAAATTACCAATAATGTATGTGTAAATGCATGGTCACACAAATTTAGATAGAAAGTAACTTGCAACGAAGTTGTGACCTCGGACGCAGTGAGAATAACACGGTCGTGAGAACTAATTGTCATTTTGACTAAACATACATTGTATGAAATGTCGGCCGATAACGTGCCATGAACGTATTATAGACTATACAACACGAATATGATTTATGTTGCGACTCATTCACTAAATCCTTTGCCGCTGAACGACTATTACGCTTTAATATAACGAACAGGCGAAGCTCGCACTGCTTGAACTGGGTCATTGGTCAAGGGTACACGCAGACACAATTTGACGAAGCTATAGTGATAGGACATTAGTCCTTCATGTCCGTAAACTAAACACCACTTTCGCTTAGTAACTACCTCCCTAAAAGCAATGAGTGAAATTGAAGGTAGTTACTAAAACATTAATGGGAACCACTCCGACATTACTGTTATTTGGGTCAATGTTATAAAGAATTCATTGTTTACGTTGTAATGCACGCCTCTCTTCGTAGAAGGTTGGTAATTATTATAACTTATCTACTTTGCATCAAAAAACTTTGTTAATGATTTCGAAAGAAAATGTCGTGATTCCAGGTTTAATTCTATTATTTTTGGTCCTCTTGTATGTTACTTTTTCTACCTTTATAAAATATTTTTTTTTGGACTAAAAGATAATATATAACTTCTTTGTATCGAGAAAAACGTCTAAAGTTACCTTACCTTTGGGTGGGAAACACGAAGTCTTAACTAACTAAAATTTAGGGATCACCAAAGAAACCATTTGAAAAAAAAGAGAATTTCGTTTATTGACATTTTTTTGTTCTATTAACGTAGA